GTGGGCTGGCTGCTGCTGCTATCCGCAGCAGCCTGTCACCTCACGCCTCTGCGTTTCTTTGATTTTCTTTGCATTTTCCCCAGCTTGTTGCAGCTAAAACGTCCCTGAAAAGCTGCTGAAGCTGCTGTTACTGCGCACGAGCGCCGCGGGAGCCGCAGGCCGAATAGCAGCACAGCCACGCGCAGCCGCGGTGCGCACTGCCCCAGACACCGCCTCAGCCTCCAGAAGACTCCCAGGTATAATTTTATTACAAGTCTTCAGTTTAGAACACGGCCAGGGGTTCCCCTTGTGGCGCTGCACGCTCTTTGCGGCGAAGTCGCCCGTGGCTGCCTTCTCGAGCGAGCTCCGCTGGCAGCAGTTCGCCATTGAATGAGCTTCATTATTTTCGCTATAAAGCTCTGAAACTGAAACTTAGCACCAACTCCAATGCACAGAAGCCGCACAGACGGCTGAAGACCCGAAGACTGCGCGAGCTAGCCCACGAGCCCGCTGCGGGGAGGCCCCTTAGCTTGAAACGGGACGTCGCTGCAGGACAAGGCTACCCCCCTGCAGCCCAGGGTGCCTTATAAGCATTCAGCCTAGCACAATTACCTAACAAACGGCTGGGGTCCCCCACGAAGTTGCTGCAACCCCCATTAGCTAGGGGAACTTGCTGGCAGCACTAGAAAGCCAGTGCCAGGAGGCTAAGACTGGGCTCACTGCTCCTGAAATTGGGTTTGTAGCAAAGCCCAGGGCCACGGAAATTCAGCTGAACTGGTCTTGCTGCGGGACTGCAACAGCAGAGTCGCCTTCGCCTCTATTAGGCTCACTCAGAAGCCTGCTACTCCTTCCTCGGCACCCATTAGAAGCTATTTTGTAGCCCAACACTGCAAAAAGCCCTTGAGATCTTGGCAGTCGTTGCTGCTGCCGGTGTATCTGGGGCTTCTGTGGCCCAAGAGCTAGCCATTGAAACGAACTGGCAGCTTTTTATCCGAGCCAGTTCTGCTTTCTTCTTACAGCCCAAAGTCGCCTCTGAGCAGCAGAGGCTGCCGGCACTGACTCGCAGGTCAATGAAAATCAGAACCGCAGCAGCAATTTGCAAAAACAGTCCTTAACTTTCTGCTTAAAGACCACCGGAGCGCCACTTCACGCAGTGACAGCACAGCCCAGTTAGGCGCAGGTTTTAGGCCAAGATGGAAAGAATGTCTTGGATTTTCGCCGCATGCAGTTTCGAACTGTTTAAATTAATATGTTTCTTGAAAATAAAATGAAAATAAAACCAGTTTATACCCTAGAATGGGCTCTCTCTGCACTTTAATAACCCCACTTTGCTTCCCTTTTACCCCTTCGGCGCTTGCCACTGCCTTCTATTGCCCCGGGGAAAATCTGAACTTCTGCGCTGCGCTGCAGCTCCGCGCCCTTCTGGGCAGCTGAGCTGTTACGGCAGGGCAAGTTGCAAGCAGGAAATACAGCAACGGAGGGGGAAGAAGGAAACGCAGGAATACAGCTAAAAGGAGGCAACAGGGAGGTGTTTAGGGCCATAAACAGCCCGAAACAGAGCCACAAAAAGAGTAATGATGGGTAGAAGATGTCAAGCGTAATATCCCAAATGTAGCGGCATGGAAATCGCCCGATAAAGACTTCCTTTAAGACAATGGGCTGCTTGAAGGGGTTGATAATTAGTAAGCCATTCTGAGCCGGCTTTGCATGCAGGGGATGATGCTGTGAGCAACATTCGCTGGAGCTGCAGCCTAACCAGTCAAAAGAATGCTGCCTTAATTAAAGGCTTTTGAGTCTGAGTCCACTTGTGGGTGGAAACTGGGTAGCGGAGAGAGGCTGACGCGGCCTAGTAATGACTGCTGCCTATATGCCTGTGCAAGGCCAGCATATGAGCCAAAAAATGCCAGAGTTCAGCAGCCCGCAGCCACTTGCCAGCCCCTGTGCAGTCTTCGCAGCAAAAGTGTTTCAAGAACAATAGCAGATAAGGGCCTTTCCGCGGAAAGCCTGCGCCTACGAGCTACCGTACTGGGCAGCTGCAGCTAAACTGTGCTATTAGGCAGAGGAAACGGTCTTCATTACTCCCTGTCTGCTCAAATCTTTTTAAAAATGAGAACAAAAGTAAAAGGACAGGCCGCTGCTAAGGCAGAGACTTGAAAAGAGAGCAGCGAGGCTCCTTGTCACTGCAGGCGGCTTCGTGTGGCCCGCCGATTGGCCCTGAGTTAAGACCCATGGAAGCCTGTGGCTGCAGCCATAGGCTTCATTTCACTTTGCTGCAGCTTGTGACTGCAGCCACAGGCAGCATTTCAATTTGCTGCAGCCTGTGGCTGCAGCCATAGGCTTCATTTCACTTTGCTGCAGCTTCTTACTGCAGTTACAGGAGGCATTTCACTTTGCTGCAGCCTGTGGCAGCAGTCACTGGCTGCATTTCATTTTGCTGCAGCCTGTGGCTACAGCCTAGCGTACTGTGCACTTCAGAATTCAAGTTTCTGGGACACCCGCTCAAGGTTGGAAAAAAAGAGCTTCTAAGCAGCACAGCTGCATTCCTTTGTTTCATTCTCTTTCTTTCTTGTTTTCCTCTTTTCCCTTCCATTTGAGGGGGATTTAAACGAGTCATTCCACTTCCTGAAGCTCAATTCCTTGCAGCCTTGCAAATGACACTGCCTGGGCTAGCGCTCACCTTCGCAGCAGATAATAGGGCAGGGGGAACTTCTAAGCTGTAGCTAACTCTTATATGCGCCTCTGAGTCTTCTAAAAAGAGCTGTTGTTACTTCTTTATCTTGAAAGCCACAGCTTTCATCTGCTTTCTCAACGCCTGTAACTCAGCGGCAGCACCAGCCCTTTGTCTACGCAGCTCTGCTGTTTTCCCGGCCAAGACCTGCGCTGTGTGTTTTGAAAAACAAATAAAGCCGAAAAAAGTGCAGCAGCAGCTGCAACGGAAGGTTCTGAGGGGTCAGATCGCCGCGCATTCTTTTGCCCAGGGCTTCGCTAATGCGAAATGCACCATCTGAATTTGCTGCGCAAAGAATGGGCAGTTAGAGGCGTTTGGGAAGGATAAATAAAAGGCATTTAAAGAAGCAAAAGCAGCTGAATTGAAGGCTTCATCAGCGCTTGTGAAGCAACTGGCTTCGTTTCTTCATGCAACTGCTGCATATGGCGGGACCGCTAAATCCAAGTTGATGGCAAAGACGGAGGCTAGGAGGCCTCCAAGGTGAAGATGCAACTCTTATGCACTCATAGCCAAAGACTTATACGATTAAAATGCAAAGCCGATGCATTCATAGCCAAAGGCTTTTGTCTTCACCCTGGAGAAATGGGCTGGCGAGGGAGAATCTGAAGCAGCAGCAGCAGACTCGCGGCGCCCTAGATACATTACACAGCATCCGAGCAAGGGTGAAAACAATAGCAGCAGCAGCAGAAGCAGCAGCAGCAGCAGCAAAAGGCTGAAGCCACCCCCCTTCTGCAGAAAATAGCAGCTCTAATGACAGCTTTATTGCCCTGGACAAGGAGAAATGCCTCTATGGAGTGATCTGCTGCTGTGTTTCGGCAAAGACAGTCGGCTGGGCTTCACTTCTTTGCTTATAATGCTGCCACTGGGGCACTTCCCGTGGAGGCCAAATGGTCTCAGTGCAATCCACTCCATAGGTCACATCTGCTGCGAGGAGTCCTGTGGCTTTGAAGTGTTTCTTTGCCTCGTAAAGGACTTAAAACGTATACTTGTGACGAATTTGCTTGTCTCTTCGTGCTCAGCAGCCCCACGGGGCCCATTCGTAAGGAAAGCTGCAGGCTGTTTGTCAGATCCTTTGGTGCCCCTGCTGGCTGCTGGCAGTGACTCCCAAGACTTAGCGCTAAGAAGAGGCCAAAGTAAACTCCTAGAGCCTCTAAGATAGACAGAAATGCTGTCTTGCGCAGCTTTGCGTTATGTGGAACTTCAAGTTCAGAATTTCTGCGGTGGCAGAGCCGCCCAGACCGCTGCAGGGGAACGGCGGCGCAGCTCTGGGCCGGCGACTTCGGCCCATCTGAAGCTGCAAAATGCCTATAGATGATTTAGGCTGCTGAAGGAGATAATAAATAAAGGCTTCACTCACTGGCTGCGGCGTAAAGGCTGCACATAGTGGCTGCAGCGCAGCCGCAGGTGGACCGCAGCGGACTCAAGCGGGCTGCTCGTGGCAAGGGAAGAACAAGGAGCTCTGTGCTCATTACGTGGAGATCCAGGAGACTAACAAAAGCTGCATTATACAGAGTAAACATAATTCACCTTCTTTTGAGAAAGATTCCGTAAAGAAGCCCCACGACACTGCTTGCAGGGTCGCACGTGGCAGCAGCTGCGAATGGCCCACGCTGCTGATCAGGCGGCGGGCGGAGCCTGTCTGCTGATATCTTCCGCTCTAAACTGCAGAAATAAAACTAAAAAGGTGAGGCTGAGGGCGTGCAGGGAGAGTCGTTGTTTATCCTTGTCAGTGCCTTTACCACACGCGTTGCAGCTTTTGGAATCCGCCGGCCGCTGAGTCTTGAATGGTCCATTCCTTCTGTGGCCGGCTGCAGATAGCCTTAAAGGACTACTTTTCGATTTATTTTCCATTAGCAGCTCATTTCTACTGCTTTGCACGGCCCCGAGGCTCCGCCTACCGCTGCCGACGCTGCTGAATGCAAGACCAAGGGCGTCGCCGGCTGGCCACACCGATCCCTGTGTATCCCGCCGGCCTGGGGCCGCCAGCTGCATTTCGAGAACATCTTTGTGTGCACAGCGTTGGAAATAGTCGGAGATTTGCTCCATAGGAGCCTTTTTGCCTGGGGAAACACTGGGCAGCAGTGGGCTGTCCAGTGTGGCCTCTACAGATGAAGAACCCGAGCGGACAAAGACTTCTAGCCTGAGTTCCACGAGTCCGGCAGGGCCGCCCGGCGGCCAGAGGGGAGCAGCAGCAGCAGCAGCACGTACAGCAGCAGCTGCAGCAGCCGCTGCCGAACAGACCGCAGCTTCGCAGCCCTCAGGGGCAAAACGATCTGCAGCAGAAGTGGCTGCAATGCAGGGCCATGAGGCAGTTTCGTGTGGCTCCGAGGAGGGCTTCTTGGCTGGGATAGACATCGATGACTTCCTCTTTGTGCTGCTGGACTCCCTGCAGCCGTCCTTGCCGGACGCTGCAGCAGCAGCAGCAGCAGCAGCAGCAGCGCCCGCAGCAGCTGCGGGGCCGGGGAGCGATGCAAGTGCAGCAGCAGCCCGACGCCCCCACGCGGGCATAACCGCCGTAGAGGGCTCTTCTTTGCTGCCGCTGCTGCGCGAGACCTGGAGGCCAGAAAAGCTGCTGCACGAGCTGCTGGAGGGGCCCCCGGCGGCAGCAGCAGCAGCAGCAGCAGCAGCGGGGGCCCCCGCAGCAGCAGCAGAGCGGGACTTGGCGCTGCGGGCAGCAGAGGCGCAGCTAAGTGCCCCCATCTCGAGGCCCTCGGGGCCCCTCTACTCCGCATGTCTTGCTGCAGGGGCTTCTTTGCTTTCTTTTGCTGCAGCAGACACAGGCCGCGTGGCTCTTGCAATAAGGGCTTTTCTTGAGGTCCGGCCCGCCACACAGGACCACCAGGTTGCGCTGCTGCTGCTGCTGCGGCTGCTGCTGTTCCGCTGGGCCCTCCACAGCCACCTGGGCCTCCCCCAGCTTCTTGCAAAGAGCCGGGGGGCCCCCTTTGTGGACTTCGGGGGCCCCCAAGGCTTGGCGGCCCTGCAGCCAGCAGAGGCCGCAGCAGCGGGGGCGCCCCTCGCAGCAGCAGCAGCAGCAGCAGCAGCAGCAGGCAGCCGCCCGCAGGCTGCTGCAGCAACGTGGCTCGGGAGAGTTGCTGCACTTGCCATTCAAGAAGCTGCTGCACTTGGAGACGGCGACGAACGCCGCGAGTTGCTGCTGGAAGTGCTGCAGATCATTGCGCGCTGCGCCCCCCACATCGTCATATCTAAGTTAGTGAAGGCCACAAAGAAAGCAGGTGCGCTGCGCAGCAGCAGCAGCAGCAGCAGCAGCAGCAGCAGCAGCAGCAGCAAGTGCAGCACAGGCTGCTGCTGCAGCGGCTGCGCCGTTCGCTGCTCAAAAGGCGTTTGCAGCTCTGTAGACGGGACTGCCTAGTCCAGATCTCTCTACACGCTGCTGCTAGTTGCTTTTGCTGTTGCTGCTGCTGCTGCTGCTGCTGCTAATAAGTGCGCTCAGTGTGACTCCAGCGCTGCTGCTGCGGCGTGTGCTGCTGCAGCTTTAGTGTCTCCCGGGGCTCCGGAGGAAACAGCCACAGAGGGCGCAGCTTGCTGCTCGTTGCTGCTGCTGCTGGAGAAGATCTTTTCATCTTCGGGATGGCCAGCGATCTCTGTGTCTCTGACGAAGCAGGTGCTTGTGGTGCTGCTGCAGCTGCTGCTGCTGCCGCTGCAGCCGCAGGATGCTGCAGGCTCGCAGCGCCGCCTGTCGCTCCCCATCCGCTGGAGCATCTCGCTGCGTGCTGCAGAGGCTCTGAGTGCCTTTGCTGCAGCAGCAGCAACGGGAAACTGCCGTTCGCTGCTGCTGGCTCTGCAGAAGCAGCAGCAGAAGCAGCAGCAGGAAGAGCAGCAGCAGCAGCGGCAGCAGCCCCTCGCCCGCGAAAACGACGCCGGCCGCGACGCCGTGGGGCTGCAGCGCGCGCTGGAAGAGGGCCTGGCAGCAGCAGCAGCAGCAGCAGCAGCAGCAGCACGAGGAGAGGGCGAACTGCCGCCAGGAGGCGAAGGCGGCTGCGGAATTGAATACCTTCCTTTGATGGCAGCAACAGCAGAAAGAGTTGTGTACATTTTGCTGCCTCGCATGCTGCTAGCTAGTGCTCCCCCAGGGGTCATTTCCGCGCTGCTGCGAGCTGCTGCTATGCTGCTGCTGCTGCCTGTACACCTCAGCAGCCCCCTGATGCTCAGACACTGGGACGACGAGCAGTCGGGGATGGTGCGGCACGACCCCGTGCTGCTGCTGCTGCAGCTGCTGCTGCTGCACATTTGCAGCGAAGTCTCTGGCGTCCCCGCAGCAGAGCTGCTGCAGGACGACCAGCAGCACGCGAGCAACCGCGCCGCAGCAGCAGCAGCAGCAGCAGCAGCAGCCAACACTCAGGACCAGCGCAAGGCTCTGCAGAAGCAGCGACAGCGGCTGCTGGAGCAAGGCGGACTCGAGACAGCAGCAGCTGCTGCAGCTGCTGCAGCAGCAGATGATGCTGAAGGTCAAGGGGGGGAAGCAGCGTACAAGCAGCGTCTGCTGCAGCACACGGATATGACCCTCTCTGAGCAGCAGGAGGAAGCAGCTCTCAACAGCAGCAGCAGCAGCAGCAGCAGCAGCAGCGGCAACGACAATGACTTGGGCGACGGCGTCAGACTTGAGGGCCCAAGAGCTGCTGCCTTCTTCATGCAAGCTGCTGCCTCTTTGTCCCACCTCACGGAAGTTCTTGCTGCAGGGCAGCAGCACTGGCGCACGGAGCAGCACGCAGCCGAGCTGCAGCAGCTGCTGCTGCTGCTGCTGCTGCATGCCAGCAGGCGTTCTCTCGCTCCCAGGGATCCCTTTGGAGATCTGCTAGCGGACGAGACCCTCAAACGAATGGTGGAGCCGTAAGCGGCTTCACCTAGATGCTGCTGCTGCCTCTGCTGCTGCTTGCTGCTGCTGCTGCTGCTGCTGCTGCTTCCGTTGTTGCAGCGACAGAGGCACCCGATGTAGCGCATCTCCAAACAGTGCATCAAAAGCAACATTGCGGAGGGCTGTAGCAGCGGCTGCTGCTGCTACTGCTACTGCTGCTGCTGCTGCTGCTGCTGCTGTTGCACTTATGCCCCGCTAGACTTGTGTCCAGACTGTGCAGGGCTCCTCGGGTGTATGTACACTCAATTTGCTTGTGTGTGAGTCAATGCGGCGCTGCAGCATCGTCTTTGCTGCAGTGTCTTCTCTTAGCGCTGTGCAGCTGCAGCACGAGGCGAAGACCGCGGGGCTGTCCTCCGCATCAGCAGCAGCAGCAGCAGCAGCAGCGACGGCAGCAGCAGCAGACTGCATCACAGCGCCTCCCTGCGAGGGGTCACTTGCAGGGCTTTCTCTGATTTCGCCCATAGCTGCTCCTAGTCCCGCTGCTGCTGCTGTTGCTGCTGCTTCCTGCAGCGACGCTGCTGCTCCTCCGTATCTGCAGCAGGTGGACTGGGTGCTGCAGGCTCTTGACCAGGCAGCAGCAGCAGAAGCAGCAGCAGCAACACAAGAGAGACAAGAAAGAGCTTTAAATGAACTCAGGTGGTGCTCCCCAGCATCTTTGTCCCTTGAGGGATCCCCGGAGGGTTTGCTGCTGTCGGTTGCGGGGGGCGCTGCAGCACGGCAGCTGTCCCGTGCTGCTGCTGCTGCTGCAGCGCAGCAGCAGCAGCTGCTGCGGGACGGCGGCGCCGCGCGGCTCTTCACAGAGGGCCTTGCCCGGTTTCTGAGCCTTCCTTTGTGCTGCGGAGGAGGCCTTGCTGCTGCTGCTTTGAACACAGCAGCAGACGTGTTTGCTGCTGCAGCAGCAGCAACCAAGCGCTCCGGTGGGCTACGAGGGGACCCACAGCAGCAGCAGCGGCTGAGGGCCATACAGTGTGCTGCACTTGTCTTCATGGGCAGAGTAGCTGGTGAGGCTACAAGCAGGTTGCTGCTGTTGCTGCCACTACCACTGCTGCCTCTGCTGCTGCTACTGTTGCTGCTGCTGCTGCTGCGTTAGCTGCTGCTGTTGCTGCTGCTACTGCTGCTGCTGCTGCTGCAAACCCATGTGTGTGCGCAGAAGCACAGAGGTGCGGCTGCCCCTCCCCCCGGCTGGCCCTCACGCCGTGGCAGCAGCCCAGCAGCATTTGCTGCTGCGCGGCGAGGTGGGCGAGGCCCAGAGAGCAGCAGCTGCTGCAGCCGCCGCTGCAGCAGCAGCAGCAGCAGCAGCAGGTCTACCTGAACCAGCAGGCGGAGGACACGCAGCAGCAGGAAACGGAGAGGATGCGGCTGCTGTGGGATAGAGCAGAGACAGCAGCAAAGTTTGTCTCTTGTCTCTTTACTTTGGCAGCAAAAAGAAGACTTTCGCCATCTCAAGCTGCTGCTGTGCTGGCAGCATGTCGATCCCTCGCGCTGTCGCGTCTGCTGCCTGTTGCTGCTGCCCACTTATCGGGGGAGGACGAGCAGCAGCAGCTGCTGCAGCTGCAGCAGTACCAGCTGCAGCAGCAGCAGCAGCAGCACTTTGCGAGGGGCGCTGACGGGGCCTCCGCCGGCTTCGAGCAGCAGCGACAGCGGCAGCTCCTCACCAGCAGCAGCAGCAGCAGCAGCAGCAGCAGCAGCAGCAGCAGCAGCGACAGCTGCTGCAGCGAGCTGCAGCTAAGCATAGACTTCAAGCTCCCGCTGCTCTGGCCCCAAGAAAGATCCTTCAGGTGGGACACAATGGCTTTAGTGGATCCTGAAGGCAGCAGCAGCAGCTCTGAAGAGGAGCTGTACATACACCGCAGGCCTTCTCTTGGCCGCAGACGCAAACAGCCCTTTAGAAGAGAAGGGCTGCATGCAGCAGCAGCAGCAGCAGCAGCTGGGGGCCCGTGGGGCCGCGCGGCGCAGCAGCGCCTGCTGGCTGCAGCGGGAGAGGCGTCAGCAGCAGAAATGGCGGCTGCAGCAGGGCCCAGCGCAGCAGCAGCAGCTGCTGCTGCTGCTGCAGCCTGGACTCACCCGCCCCCTGCAGCAATCTGTGGGATATTTGTCTTCGTGCTGCGGCTGCTTTGTCTCTCCCCATCCGACAGCAGCGACGAGGCAGCAGCAGCTGCGGCAGCAGCAGCAGCAGCGAGATGGCCAGCGTCTTCGCCGCTGCAGCAGCAGCAGCAGCAGCAGCAGCAGCTCGGGACCTCCCCAGCAGCTATTCTCAGGGAAGCTGCAGCTCACGTGCTCTTCAAAGTCCTCGCCCAAGACGCGCCGGGTGAGTCTCTTCCATTTTGCTGCTGCTGCTCCGTCCCTTGTTGCTGCTAGGCAGTGGCGCTGCTGCAGTGCCCGAGCCCCACGCCTCATGTAAACCCGGCTGCTGCTGCTGCTGCTGCCCTGTGCACTCCGCTGTGGGTGGCGCCTGCAGTGCCGCAGTCCCAAGTTGCTGCACTCTGCGAGCTGCTGCTGCATGCCTCCAGCATCCATTGGGACAGGGGCGGTCTTGCTGCTGCTGCTCTTCGCGCGGTGGCGAAGCTGATACCCAGCCTGCTGCCCACGCCTCAGCAGCAGCAGCAGCAGCAGCTGCTGCTGCTGCGCTCCCAAGCCCTCCCCTCCCGAACCCAGATGCTGCACTGGGACGTCCACAGGCCTCACCACCCGCAGCACCCGCACCCGCAGCGCCAGCACCAGCACCAGCAGCAGCAGCAGCAGCAGCAGCAGCAGCAGCAGCAGCAGGGGGCCTCCTTCGCAGCAAGAGCTGCTGTCTTCGTAGAACGCCTTACTGACGCCCTCGAGGAACATGCGGGCGGGGCCATTCCGCTGTCGAGTGAGGGTTGGGTGTCGGCGCTGTGCGAGTTGCTGCTGCTGCTGCACTTGGGTTTGCTGTCGCACTACGGCAGCAGCGAGACGCAGCAGCTCTTCGTTTCCTGCTGCCTCCTGCGGGGCTTTGCTGCTGCAGCAGCAGCAGCGCGCAAGGAAGCTGAGAGGCCCCCCAGCAGCGAAGAGCTGAAGCGGCAGGGCAGCGCCTCTGCAGCGCTGAGTCTGCGCCGCGGCGCGTCTTTGGGCGAAGCAGCAGCAGCAGCAGCAGAGGAAGCAGCGCTGGAGGACCTGCAGCAGCAGCAGCAACGCCGCGCTCTTGCTGCGCTGCAGTTCCTGGGAGTTGTGGGGCGCTCGCTTTCGCTGTCTGTACAGCAGAGCCTCACGCGGGTCTTCTTGGGCTGCGGGCAGTGCGCAGCAGCAGAAGACAAGTCGGGGGCCCCCGCGGAAGCAGCAGCAGCAGCAGCAGCAGGTGCTGCTGCAGCAGCAGAGGGGCCCCCCGCCCTCTGGCTCTCCCTCGCAAGGCCTGTGGAGGCCCCCCGAGCAGGCAGGGCAGAGGGGGGCCTCCTTGAGAGTTTGCTGCTGCTCTCGAGGGCCCCCGAGGCCCCTGAGGGGCCCCCCAGGGATGATGGGGAGAGTTCTTTGGGCGGGGAGTGGTCTGATGAGAACGAGGCTTTTGCTGGCAGCAGCAGGCAGCCAGCAGCAGCAGCAGCAGCAGCAGCAGCAGCAGCGGGCAGCTCGTGGGGCGGGTTCGGGTCCGGGGAGGCGAGCCGGCGAAGGAGCCTCGCGAGCGCCGAAGAAGAAGCAGCAGCGCCTGCAGCAGCAGCAGCAGGTGCTGCTGCTGCTGCTGCAGTCAGGTACTGCCACCCCGAGCGGCTGCGGAGGGTTGTGGGCTGGCTGGGCAGCAGCGGGGGCACTCTGTGGCTGCAGCAAGAGCTGCAGCCGCTTGTGTTCTTTGCTGCTGATGCTGCTGCAGCAACTCGGCCTCTTGCTGCTCAGACAGACACAGCTGTGCTGCAGGAGCAGAGGGCCACAGCGCGTGCTGTTGCACTTGCTGCCAGCAGCAGCAGCAGCAGCTTCGCCTCTTTGCTGCGGCTGCTGCAGGCCGTGGGGGCCCCGCCCGCCCAAAGAAGGTCCTTCGGGGTCTTTCCTTTCTTCAGCAGCAGCAGCAGCAGCAAGAAGCAGCTAGAAGCAGGCAGAGTGCAGCTGCTGCTGTGTCGCGCGGCCTTGGCCATGTCTCCTCCTTGGGAGTTGTTTGACTTTTCTGGGCCGCGTCTGCTGTCTGCTGCTGCTGCTGCTGCTGCTGCTGCAGCAGCTACGGCCGCGAACGGCGAGGCCGCGGCGCTGGTTGCTGCTGCTGCTGCTGCAGCACCCGCCACCGGCAGCGAACGCCCCCTGGGCACCTGGCTCTTCGGCAGCAGCAGCAGCACAGCTGCAGCAGCAAGTTATAGAGGACTAGTGCAGCAAGCGAAGCAATCAATGTTGGGGGTTTTTCACCGAGAGGGAGATGACGCGCTGCAGCTGGTGGAGAAGGCTGAGGCTTTCCTGGCCGCAGCAGAAGCTGCTGCTGCTGCTGCGGACCGCCAGCAGCAGCAGCAGCAGCAGCAGCCGTGCTGCTTCTTCCTCTTTGTTGCGCTGCTGCTGTCGCTGCTTCTGGCCTTCCAAAAGGAGACAGACCACGCCCTTGCTGTCACAGTGGCGGAGACTCTTCAGGCCATGGGCCGGCGCTGGAGGCTGGCGGCGCAGGAGCTGCTGCAGCAGCAGCAGCGGCAGCAGCGGCAGCAGCAGCAGCAGCAGCATCACCGCCACCACCCCCACCGCCGGAAGGCCGGCCACCGCGGCGAAGACGACGAAGGCAGCGACGCCTCCCTCCAGGCGTCGGCGAGCCGCAGCAGCGGCAGCTTTGCTGCTGCTGCTGCTGCTGCTGCTGCTGCTGCTGCTGGAGCGGCTCCCTGGGGCCCCCCAGCGACGCAGGAGGGGGCCCCCAGGAGAAGCAGCAGCAGCATTCTCTCGGCCTTTGAAACTCCTTCTGCTGCTACAGTTATGCCTCGGACTCAGTGGGTGGAGAGGCACTGCGGCGTGTCTCTGCGCTGCAGCACTGCTGTGGAGGCCGAGGAGGCTGCTGCTGCTGCTGCCATCTACACCAGCAGCAGCAGCAGCAGCATGGAGTACCTCACCACTGGAGCGCTGCAAGACAAGCACCCAGGCCTGCAGCAGCCGCTGGAGGGCCCGCTAGCCGTTCCCAGGATTTTCCAGGAAAGAATCAGCAGCAGCAGCAGCAGCAGCAGCAGCAGCAGCAGCAGCAGCAGCCACGCAGCGCCAGCCCCCGAAGACCTCGCGAACCGGGGGGAAGAGCTGCTGCAGGCTGCTGCTGCTTTGGGGGGGGCCCTCGGGAGGGGCTCAGAATTAATTATTTCTTTTTTGCTGCCTTTTTGTCTTTCTTGGAGGCCCCACAAAAAGCTGCCTCTCCCGCGGCTGCAGGCTTCTGCGCAGCAGCTAAGGGAAGCAGCAAACACCTGGGACTCTGGCCGCGAGCTGCTGGCCAGAGGTGCGTCACCTGCTGCTGCTGCTGCTGCACTAGGTGCTGCTGCTGCTGCTGCTGCTGCTGCACTAGTTGCTCCTGCTGCTGCTGCTGCTACTGCTGCTGCTGCTGCTACTGCTGCACTAGGTGCTGCTGCTGCTGCTGCTGCTGCACTAGGTGCTGATGCTGGTGCACTGGGTGCTGGTGCTCCTGCTCTAGCTGCTGCTGCTGCTGCTGCTGCACTAGCTGCTGCCTTTGCCGCTGTGTTAGTTGCTGCGTCTGCTGCTGTGCTAGCTGCTGCTGCTGCAGTACTCGCCGCAGGTGTAACTGCTGCTGCTGCTTTTGCGGTAGGGTAGGTCGAGCAGCGAGGCAGCATTTTTGTTTATGACGGACTTCGCTTCTCAGTGATTTTGCTGCTGCTGCTGCTGCTGCTGCTGCTGCTGCGTGTGCATTCGGATGTTTTTCTTTAGACCCTCTGGCTGCTGTTGAGGCCCTCTTAGGCATTACAAAGAGCGGGCGAGCTGCAGCAGCAACAGCAGCAGCAGCAGCTGCTGCTGCTGCCAACGACGATCAGGTGTCTCCTCTTTCAATTGCTGCCTTCAGCTGCGCTGCAGCTGTCCTGCCCCCGCGGCTGCAAAGTCACCATCAGCAGCAGCAGCAGCAGCAGCAGCAGCAGCAGCAGCAGCAGCAGGGCTTGCTGCTGCAACTCGAGAAGTCTGTCAGCGAAGAGCTGCAGCTCCATAAAGGCCTCTGCTGCATGTTGCTTGTTGCTGCTCTTCACGTGCTTCGCGCGCAGGTAGGCTCGCTCCCGTGCTGCAGCAGCCGCAGCAGCCGCAGCAGCAGCAGCAGCAGCAGCAGCAGCAGTTTTCTGACGATGCTTGAGCCACATGAGGTGCTTCTCGTTGCCTGCTGCTGCTCTCGTTACTTGCTGCTGCTGCTCTCGTTGCCTGCTGCTGCCTGCCTGTCAGGTCCCTGCTGCAGCAGCAGCATATATACGCACACTTTATATAAGGGCAGTTTCTGCCCCCCTCAGCAGCACAAACTGGAGAGGGAAAAGGGGGCCCCTCGCGCTGCTGCTGGGGGCCCCCCGGGCCCCAGAGGAGCAGCAGGGGGCCCCCCGGGGTCCGGGGGCCCCCATTTCGGGTCCTCCTAGTCTAGAGGCCCCATACGTGGACAGCCCTCGACAGCAGCAGCAGCAGCAGCTGCTGCAGCAGCAGCAGCAGCAGGGAAGGGCGTTCCTGCAGCCGCAGTACCAGCTGGAGCCGCGCGGGGGACGGGGCGCAGCAGCAGCAGCAGCAGCAGCAGATGAGGATCAGATGCAGCAGCAGCTGCTGCTGCAGAGCCAAGATGTTGCTGACAGCATGGCGCAGGTTTTGGGGGACAGCTGCAGGCCCTCAGAGTCTTACCGCAGCATGCGGGTGCAGGCTGCAGCAGCTGGTGGCCCCGCAGCAGCAGCAGCAGCAGCAGCAGCAGCGGGAGACATTCAGCAGCTAGCAGCGGACACAAGGGCTGCAGCAGAAGACGGACTCATCCCTGAAGTCTGCTTCGATGCTCTTGCTGCTGCAGAAAAAGCTGCTGCTGATCTTGCTGCAGCAGCAACTGACTGCCTCCTTGGGCTGTCTGTACACCACAACACTTGGCAGGTCACCGCCCTTCTACTGAGAGTACGTCTTGCTGCAGCAGCAGCAGCTGCTGCTGCTGCTTCTGCTGCTGCTTCTGCTATTGTTGCTGCTTCACAATAGCAGAACCAGCAGCAGCATCAGCAGCAGCAGCTGCTGCTGCTGCTTCTGCTATTGTTGCTGCTTCTGCTTTTACTAGGGTGCCCACTGTGGTCCGTCCCTCTCTAGTTCTGCTGCAGGCGCATTCGCTGCGCTTACTGGGTTCGTGCTGCTGCTGCTGCTGCTGCTGCTGTTGCTGTTGCTGCAGGCAGTACACATGAGGCTCTGCAGCAGCAGCAGCCCTTTCGTTCGATGGCGAGGCCTCTGCGCAGCAGCACGCATTGTTGCTGCTGCTCCCGCCATTCGTGGGCAGAAAGTTCACGGGGAGGAGGATGAGGACAGCAGCAGCGGCAGCAGCAGCAGCAGCAGCAGCAGCAGCAGCGACGCTGATGCAAGGGTGTGGCTGCAGCTGCTGCTGCTGCTGTTCCCCAGAGGAGGAGACAGCTGCCTCCAGCTGGCAGCCCTCGCGCTGCAGGCATTTGACGTTCTTGCTGCGAAGGCCCCAGAAGGCCGTGCTGCAGCGCGTGCTGCAGCAGAAGCAGCAGCTGCAGCAGAGAAGGAGCAGCAGCAGCAGCAGCAGCAGCGGATGCTGCTGCAGGACCCCAGCCAGAATGGCGGTGCGCGGAAGCACGACAGTTTCGGAAGGCTGCAGTTGCAGCTAGAGAGCAGGCACCAGCTGCTGCTGCAACGGCAGCAGCAGCAGCTGCTGCTGCTGCTGCGCCCCCAAGTAGCAGCAAGCCCTTCAGCAGCTCACGAGGCCATCTCCCTGCTGCTGCTGCCGCTGGCCGAGACAGAAGTCTCCCCCGCTCTTGTGTCTCTACAGTGCCTCACTGAGCTGCTGTGTCCGCAGACTGCTGCTGCTGCTGCTGCTGCTGCTACTGCTGCGCAGCAGCAGCAGCAGCTGCAAGCGTGTGAGGGGGAAGAGCCTTCTTTCTCCCGCGGTCCCTCGCACCAGTCCCCCGAGAACCCCAGCAGCAGCAGCAGCAGCAGCAGCAGCAGCAGCAGCAGCAGCAGCAGCAGCGTGCTGCTGTCTGCTGCAGTTGTTTGGGGAGTTTCTCGAGCCCTTTTTGCCACAATGGACTTACGCAGGGAGCGGCTGCTGGCCCGGCGAGCGACGCTGCAGCGGCTGCGGCAGCGGCTGGAAGCAGTTGCTGCTGCTGAGGGCAGGGGCGAGGCAGCAGAGGCAATAGCAGCAGCAGCAGCAGCAGCTGCTGCTGCTGCTGCTGCGCCGGTCGCCGGCATGCCCTGCGCCAACAGGGGGCCCCAGCAGAAGGGGGATGCTTCGAAGCAAGAAGACACAGAGGCAGACAGCAGCAGCAGCAACTTTGCTGCTGCTGCACTGGAGCACGAGGCCCAGGCCTTGTGGCTGCAGCGGCTGCAGCAGCAGGAGTCGCAGCTAAAAGCAGCAGCTGTTGAGTGTCTCCGCCGCCTAGCTCTCATTAACTTTGAAGCAGTCCTGGGGCCCCTCACGAACTCTCCAGGCGCTGCAGCAGCCGTAGCTGCCGCTGCCCCAGCAGCAGCAGCAGCAGCAGCAGCAGCAGCAGCAGCACGCCTGCGGCGCATGGACGTCTTTGCTTCCTGGTGGCTTTTTGTCGTCGCTAGCCACAGACAGAGCAGCAGCAGCAGCACCAGCAAGCGCTGCTGTTGCTGCTGGTGTGCCGGAAGGCCAGGGAACGTCCCCCAAAGAGCAGGGGAAGCAGCAGCAGCAGCAGCAGCAGCAGCAGCAGCAGCAGCAGCAGCCGGCGCACCGCATGCAGGTGCTGCTTGCTGCTGCAACTGACGCAGCAATCGACGCAGCAGCAATGACACTAGACGACCTGCATCCCCAAGTGCTGCGCCTTGAGACTCTTTTCTCTGGCAAATCATCAGCAGCAGCAGCATCTGCTGCTGCTGCTGCACCTGCAGCAGCAGAAGCAGCAGCAGAAAACTGGCTTGCTGCTGACTCGCTGCACTGCCTCCGCGCAGCACTTGGCTGTCTCCAGACTCTGACGCACTTGTGGGTGGGTCTCCACAGGGCAGCAGCAGAAGCAGAAGAGGGGCAAGGGCCTGCTGCTGCTGCTGCTGCTGCTGCTGCTGCTGCTGCTGCTGAGTCACGGACAGTAGACAAGGCAGCAGCAACAGCAGCAGCAAGTCACCTTGACGTCTCCGCCTTTGGGACTGAAAGCAGAGCGATGAGGGTCTTGGATGTTCTTGAAGTAGTGAGCGCTGTTGCTGCTGCTGCTGCTGCTGCTGCCGCTCCTGCTGCTGCTGCTCCTGCTTCTGCTCCAGCTGCTGCCTGCCCCTGCTGCTGCCTGCTCCTGCTGCTGCCTGCTGCCTCGCTGTTATAGCGCCCTTGTAGCTCGCCTACTTGCACTCGCTGTTGTCGCTGCTGCTGCTTTTGCTGCTGCTGCTGCTGCTGTTGCTGCTGCTGCTGCTGCAGGGCTTCGCAGTTTATCCAGCCATGAGGTGCGTGTTGGCCATGGGGCAGCAGCAGCGCGAGCAGGAAGACTCTTCGGACCCGGCAGCAGAAGCAGCAGCAGCAGCAGCCGCAGCAGCAGCAGCAGGAGCATTTGCTGCCACGCTGCAGTGCGTGGTACACTGCGCTGCGCTCCCCTGCTGCACCTGGCCCTCTGCTGCAGCTCGTGCTGCTGTCTTTTTGCTGCTGAAGCGGCGGCTGCTGCGGCCCTGCTGCTTCTTGCCCCTGGCGACAATCAGCGTAACTTGACACTGCTGCTGCTGCTGCTGCTACTGCTGCTGCTGCTACTGCTGCTGCTGCTGCTACTCCTACTGCGACTACTGTTGTTGCTGCTGCTGCTGCTGCTCCTTTTGACTTCTTTGCTGCTGCTGACGCTTTTGCAAGCACTGTGGGCACTTGCGCTAGTGCTGCTGTTGAGTGATTGCTGCTGCTGCGGGTGCTGCTGTTGCTGCCATGCTTTTCCCACCTCTGCTGCTGCTGCTGCTGCTTCTACTGCTGCTGACGCTGACCTCCTGCCTATGCTGCTGCCAAAATTGGCGATGCTCCTTCTAAAGCTGTTGCTGCTCTTGCTGCTGCTCTTGCTGCTGCTCTTGCTGCTGCTTTTGCTGCTGCTCTTGCTGCTGCTCTTGCTGCTGCTCTTGCTGCTGCTCTTGCTGCTGCAGCAAATGTGGATTTGCGTCGGGGCTGCATGCGTTTGCGCAGGAGACCGAGCTGCTGCCGCTGCTGTTCCGCGCTCTGCGGCGAAGTGTGCAGCTGCTGCTGGAGGTGCATGTGCAGCAGCAGCCAGCAGAAGGAGCAGCAGCAGCAGGAGCAGCAACGGCAGCAGCAGCAGCAGCAGTGGCCCTCAACACCCACTTCCTGGGGCCGCGAGAAGGAGACGAACTGGTTCTTGCTGCTCTTTTTTATTGCGCTGCCACAACTGCAGCAGCAGCAGAAGCAGCAGCGGAGTGCCTCCTCACGCTGCTGCCGCTGCTGGGGTTTCCAGACATGCAGCAGCAGCAGCAGCAGCAGCAGCAGCAGCAGCAGCTTCTGCAGCGACTAAGAGGCGAACTTCAGAAGGAGCTCGAAGCACAAGGCCTTCTTCGTCCCGTGCGTCTCTTGCACGGAAAAGAGCAGCAGAAGCTGCCGTGCGCTTGCTGCTGTGTGCAGCAGCAGCAGCAGCAGCAACAGCAACAACAGGAGCAGCAGGAGCAGCAGCAGCAATCGCTAAATAGGATGCCGCAAGAGGCTGCAGCCCTCATTGATGCTGCTGAGCCTTTCTTGTACATCCCCTGGGGCCCTTGGTGTTCTCAAGACCCCAAAGCAGCAGCAGCAGCAGCAGCAGCAGCAGCAGCAAGGGGGCGCCGCAGCTACTGCTCGCTGGTCGACCGCAGCGAACTGCTGCAGCGGCTGCTGCGGCCCGTGCTGCAGTGCCTGCTGGCAGCAGAATCTCAAGGGGACATTGAGAGACTTTGCTGCCTCTGTGATTTGGACAAGCCAGACCCTTTTGCTTCCCAGCTGGAGGCAGTGGCTGCGCCTGCAGCAGCAGCAGCAGCAGCAGCAGCAGCAGCAGCAGCTGGCAGCAGCAGCAAGGAGGACAGCGTCCCGGAGAGCAAGAAGACGGAGCGGGGCGAGACGAGCGGCTCCTTAGGCCCCAAGAAAAGCACTGGCAGCAGCAGCAGCAGCAGCAGCAGCGGGAGCAGCAGCAGCAGCAGCAGCAGCAGCAGCAGCAGGAGCAGCAGCATTTTGGACCCGCACAGCCTGATGATGCGGGACCGGGGCTACCGGGCCTCGCGGCGTTTGTGTCTGCGGGTGTGCCATTTGCTGCAGTGCTGCAGACTTTACTTCCCAGAGAGCAGCAGCAGCAGCAGCAGCAGCACTCCGGGGCCCCACCCCGCTGTGCTGCAGCACAAGCAGCAAGCAGCAGCACGTCGGCGGCAGCGCCGTGTGGACTGGCTCTTCTTCGGGCGTTTGGGTGGCGAGGGGGCCCCCGGGGGGGCCCCCGCGGGGGGCCCCTCGGGGGCCCCCCCGGGGGCCCCCCCAGGG